CGTGGCTGAAAAAAATGAGTCAAGGAGTGAATGAGTGCATGAATGAATGAAGAAACTATAAGAAAACACAGACTTTTCATTTTTTTCTTATAGTGGATGGTGGTTCCAGACTGATTTTTTAGAAGTTTATTTATTTATTTTGAGAGAGAGAGAGGGAGAGCAGGGGAGGGTCAGAGAGAGAGAGAAAATCCCAAGCAGACCCTGCGTGTCAGTGCAGAGCCTGATGCAGGGCTCAAACTCTGGAACTGCGAGATCATGACCTGAGCTGAAACCAAGAGTCAGACACTTAACTAACTGAACTTACCCAGGCACCCATCCTTCCCAAACTGAGTTTTAAATCCTGTGATTTAAAAAGATTTTTAATAGCATGGCTCAAGATCATCTATCCTTTCCAAATTGAACATCTTAAGCGCAATACAGGAGAAGGGAAATATACCCCTGGGCTGAGAGAGGTAACAACGTCTTCTTGGAGACGCAGGACGTGACAGTTCTGAATTTCATAGTCCCATGAAATCAAAGCACATTTACAACACGCTCACGGCCACAGCTGTTTGTAAGCCAGACTGCCCAACTCCAGAGATGATTCCCAGCACGGCTCTGCCCGCGCCTCACCCTCCTGGGACTTGCCCGTCTGCAACACAGACACCCGCCTGGCGCTGACTCCAGGAGGCTGTGTGCTCCCTGCACGTCGCCAAGTGGAGCAGTCACGACTCTGCCTCCTCTAGATTGGAGACTCGTTCTCTGAAGTGAAGGCAGAACTCCAAGTTCTCGATTCCTCTTGGAAACCCCAAGCCCTTGTGGTCTCTGGAGTCTCCAGGGACAGGGACGGACACAGTACTGAGGGGTCCTGCTACTGACTCGCAAGGGGTGGTCTACAGAGTGGCTGCACTGACTGCAGAGAGATGCATTTCCCTTGGTGTAAGCTTGAGTTTTCCTGGACGATCCGTGATCCATGGCATCTACACAGGCAGCAAGCGGCCCCTCAACACCACCCCTCCCACCCCCTCAACCCCCGTGCTGGCTCTCCATTCTTTAGTCCCAGAGGCTGGGAAAAGAATCTCCTGCAAAATGGTTGCCCCGCCCTGATCTTTGCCCTACTTCTCACCAGGGATCAGACACCGGCTGTCTCTCCCGACTCCCCGACTCCCATATTGTCAGTCTTGTCCCTACCATCCCAACTGGCTGCCTCCAGTCATTCCAGAAGGTCGCAGCTGCCCCCACCTCCAACCACATCTCCCTCTCCCTCATCCTCCGCACCCTCCTTGTTCAGGCCCCATGACCAGAATGGTCTCCTAACTGGTCTATCAGGTCACCCCTCACTCCTCCGCCAGGCTGACCTTCCCAAAGTGCAGTCCCAACTACACAACTTCCCAAAATGCTGGTCGCGTCCAGCAGTGAGCTGGACAAAGCCTGACAAATAAAGCTGCAGCCCTCACCATGCTGGCGTCCTTCCATGGCCTGCCCACAGTCCTCCTTCACTCTCTGCTCCTTCAAGCACCCTCCTCCCATCCCCCACCGTCGCAAGTACCCAAATTAAACTCTTCCTTGTGGCCCACCAACACCCCTGCTTCCTCTCCGCCACAACTCTGCTGTGTCCTCCCACTAAAAACCTTCTCCTCCATTTCTTTATGGCTCTCAAGGTTCAACTACTGGTGCCCTGCACCAGAAAGTCTCCTCAGACCCTCCCAGACAGACAGACATAAGCCCTCTTCTTCTTTACCCGGACAAGTAGCTTGCTCACATAATGCCAGTCACCGGGCACTAAGCCCCTGACCACCGTGCCCAATACCACAGCATGCACATACAAATGTTCACTCCCATTCTTACAAAGCCCCCTGCACAGGAGGTTCCCAGCTGTAGGGATGAAAAAACCAAGGGGCACCCGGGTGGCTCAGCTGGTTAAGCATCCAGCTTTGGCTCAGGTCACGATCTCATGGTTTATGAGTTTGAGCCACGCATTGGGCTCTGTGCTGACAGCTTGGAGCCTGGAGCCTGCTTCAGATTCTATGTACCCCCTCTCTGTCTGCCCCTCCCCTGCTCAGGCTCTGTCTTTCTCTGTCTCTCAAAAATAAACGTTAAAAACAATTAAAAAAAGAAAAAAGAAACCGAGCTCAGAGAGGTCTGGTGGTTGTCCAAAGTCCCAGCCAATACAGAGTCAGCCAGGATTCAGAACCCAAGTGTCTTCAGACTTTGAAGACCTCTTGTGTTGCCCCCCCGACCCCCCACAGCGTTTATCTATGGTGCACATTATGTTGTGTTCTATAGTTCGGTGATGTAGACTTATTTTCTCTGACTGGCTGGTAAGTCCCTCCAGGAATAACCATATTTTTCTTTAAATTATTTTACAGACTATCTCACCTGCTCCGGTTTATTTCTGCCACATCTCTTATCGCTAGCTGGCAATACCTTGCTTATGTATCTGGGCATTGACTTCCTCATCCCGCTAGAATGGGGGCCTCCGAGGAGAAAAGACTGTGTCTGCTTTGCTCACCTTTGCTTCTCCAGCACCTAGAACATGCCTGGCCCATAATCCATCCTCCAATGTTTGTTAAATAAGAGACAAAATGGAAGAAGGCAAGGAGGAGGGAGGAAGGAAGGGTGAACTGATAAATAGTTGCCAAATAAACGAATCCTAGATCAGTTAAAAAATCTTCAATGTGTGAAGGAAGGGGCACATTTGTATTTACTGTCAGGAATAAGGTTCAATTTGTTCCTTAGGGCTGTCTTTCAAAGAATCAAAAGAGGAAAGAAATGCCCACAAAAATCAAAGCCAAGGGACATCTATCGAATTATAAATGCAAATATCATTTGACAAAGAAATTCTACTTCTGGAAAATTATTCTACAGATATACTCACATGCATACAAGGTTATCTGTTACAGTATTATTTGTTGTAGTAAAAAGATTGGAAGCAATCCATATGCCCATCAAGTGGAGACTGCTGAATATAAATTAGGGTGCACATATACTATGGATTCTCACCCAGAGCCAAGAAGGAACGAAGAAGCTCCCTCTATACCAACATGGGAAGATCTACAAACTATATTGTTAATTGAAAATCCATGGTGCAGAACAATGTCTAAACTGTCCCCCTCTGTGTACCAATGGGAGAGGTGCAAACAGTCTTTGCTGCACATGCACGGAGAATCCTGGGGGACACGTAAGAAGGTAAGAACAATGGTGGAACGCGGGGGCAGGAGGTGAAACCGGGTGGACGGAGAAAAGGAAACTTTTCACAGTATAAAATTATCTTATTTCTCTCCGGCTGCTGTAATGAGACACCACAGACTGGGTGGCTTAAACAACAGAGATCTATTTCTCACAGTTCTGGAGGCTGGGAAGTCCAAGGTACCAGCAGATCCAGTGTCGGGTGGGCGCCCACTTCCTGGTTCATAGACTGCTGTCTTCTCCCTGTGGCCTCGATTCGGGAAGGGATGCGGGGGCTCTCCGGGGGCTCTTTTACAAGGGCACCCATCCTGTTCACGAGGGCCCCACCACATAACCTGTTCAGTTTCACGGAGTCCCAGCTGGAGAGGAACTTGTACATGGGGGTCTCTCCCACCTCTGATTTAGATGGTATGTAGGTGAGTCCTCGGATTTAGACTTTAAAGTTGATGCTGGAATGAGTTGAGACTTTGGGGACTATTGGAACAGAATGTATTTTGCAAGCAAGAAGTACAAGAAGTAATGGACTGCTATAAACTGAGAGTCTGTATCCCTCGGAAATTAACAAGTTGAAATCTAACCCCCAAGATGATGGTATTTGGAGGTTGGGTCTTGGGTGGGTGATAAGGTCATGAAGGTGAGCCCTCATGAATGGGATTAGTGCCCTCGTAAGAGAGACCCCAGAGAGCTCCCTCACCCCTTCTGCCATGAGGACACAGCATAAAGATGTCCGTGACCTAGGAAGCAGGGGCTTACCAGATAGTGAATCTGCCAGCACCTTGAGCTTGGACTTCCCAGCCTCCAGAACTGTGGGAAATAACTTTCTGTTGTTTAAAAGCTACCCAGTCTGTGATATTTTCTTGCAGCAGCCTGAACAGATTAAGACAAACATATTACCGGGGCACCTGTACAGCTTAGTTAGTTAAGTGTCCAACTTCGGCTCAGGTCATGATCTCACAGTCCGTGGGTTCGAGCCCCGCATCGGGCTCTGTGCTGACAGCTCGGAGCCTGGAGCCTGCTTTGGATTCTGTGTCTCCCTCTCTCTCTGCCCCTCCCCCCTCGTGCTCTGTCTCTGTCTCTCAAAAATAAATAAACATTAAAGAAAAAAGACAAACCTATTGCCTGCAAACACTGAAACTTAAAAAATAAGTAAATAAAAGCCCGTGGCTGACTCGGGAGCACCTGAATGCCAGGAGGGATGCTGTAGATGATCCGGATGGTTTTGCAGTCGGGGTGGCCGGGCAGGGAGTGAGGGATGAGGTGGTACTCCATCTTCCCCGGAGGCTGGGTGCCTGTCTTCACCCCATAAATGGTCTTACAGGTTGGACACTGCAAACTTCCGTCCTGAGGGCGCAAGGCAGGAACAGCCAGGTTGGGAAACAGTTTTGGCAACACACCCCTAACCCCACCTAACCCTGGAAGGGGAAAAAGATAAAAGGCCAGGGGGACAAAATGCACCCAAATAAGTAAATTCCACAAATTAGCTCCATACTAAGGGCCATGCAAGAGAGACCCCCCATCCTTGAAAGGCAGAGCAGCCCATGCGGGCAGGGAACATACACAGGGAGTCATTATCGAACCATGAAGTACCAAACAACAAAGCACTAGGGAGCAGCCTCTGCCCAACTGCTGAGCATCACAATCCTGATGAAGCTTGCTGGAAACAAAGATGCTTGGACCCCACCCCAGGCCACCAAACTGGATGGGGCGGGGGGGGGGGGG